AGACTATTCATCAACTATAACCATACTTTATTGCAATAGATGCTTATTTTACAGTATCTGTGGAGCAAATTACATGAGCCCATAAGTGCTTACTTATGATCATCAAGGGGAAAAAAGAATTGTCTTAAATATTCACTTAGACCAGGGGTAAAAAAAAATGCACAGAAAAAATTTTGTTCACCTCCCATTCGTTACTTAGTCCCCAGGGGGTGAAAATCCATTAACAAGAGGAATAAAACATGAGGAATGTGCATGTATTGTAGAGACATTGTGCATATTTTTTTAATTTGCCCTTACATACATTTTAAAGAGAAAGTTCAGTGAAGTCATTTGTGACATCACATGAGTCTATGAAAAGGCAGAACAGAGCTGATCTAGTTCTGCCATGCCTAACCCTGTAGCAAACGAACACTACAATAGTGATCTTTTGCTGCTGCTGAAAGCAAGCAGCATACTACTAATACAAAAAATGTGTTGGGGGGGCAATCAGGTCAGGCCCCCCCATGAAGAAAGAGCGAGAGAAAAAAATGGCTTTTACTGCATTAGCATCAAACACTTGCATAAACAAGCTCAATGTCATCTAGAATTTATTGATCCCAAACTGCATTAGCATCAAACACTTGCATAAACAAGCTCAATGTCATCTAGAATTTATTGATCCCAAACATGTGAAAATGTCACCACTGTGCTATTTTTTGTCCACCTGAACCCAAAATTGACTAATTAAGGCCCTTTCACACAGGCTTTCCAATTAGGTCCACCTGTCAGTTTTTCATGTGGACCTGATCAGAAGCTCCATACAGCACTTTTGTCTGTTACCCATTTACCTTTAAGTCCATTGAGGTCCAGAAGAAAAAATGGGAAAGAAATGCATCCTTTTCTGTTTTTTCTCCAGACCTATTCGTGGTCGACCGGAGGTAGCTTGATGTAAGTGGGCACAAGTCAGTTTACATCTGGCTGCCCACAGAGCTTCCATGGGTCCACCCATGTCCACCAGACACAAACTGAATAGGCACATATGTCCCATTCAGCTCCAACTCAGCAGGGGATCCATTCACAAATGTACTGCTAAACATAACAGACTGTTTCCTAGATGAATTTTGAGTTATCAATTGTAACAGACCCAACCTGGACAGGAGCTTTTAGAGGGGACTATGAGCTAGTCTTCTACTCACTGAATATGGTCCATGATGGAGACCGGGATATTGTCTGCTTCTTCCGGTCAGAGCATGGAGGAGAGCATGGTCCTGAAACCCTTTGACTAGCCAGGAGTATCTACCAGGATTATGCGGCCACAAAATCCTCAGAACAGTGGTACGTCTGCAGGAACATTGTCTCAAATGGATCATGCAGATGCACATTCACCAGCCAAGGATATGGAACTCTTCTTGGGCATATTTCTTGTCTTGCCCTCGCTGGTCCTCGAGAGCTGCATAGTGCAGCATTTGCACATTTTGCCCCAGCTACTACCAACTTTATAATATTAACTTTTTATGTTATTTCCACCAAAGATGTGCCACTTGGTAACCTAGATCCGAGCTGGATCTGGGGTGGGAAATTTATAAACGAGTGGTGTAATGTATTGTATGTATCCTGGGATGTGGAACTGTTTCTGGACATCCCGGTGGGCAAGCCCTGGCTAATCAAGTCTTATTGTGGACATGTTTTCCAGACAAGGGAGGCAGGGTGGGGAATTCCTGTGACTATTTAAAAATAAAATAAACAGTGCAGCGCTAATAAATAATATATAAATATAGATATCCAATGAATATGTGATACAATAAAACTCAATATACCTCTAAACATAGATCCAAAGTACTCAGTAAATATATAGTGTCATGCATGTATTCCCTCATAGGGAATATCTAGTGCAAAAAGTGACAAATATAATCATAAACAATAAAGTGACAAAACACATACAGTGCTCAAAAAAAAATGAACCAATATTCAGTTGCAAAAAAAGTCCAAACAATTGATAATAATAATGATGATGCAATGCTTAGCGATGATCTTTACACTTCACTCTTCATGCAAAAGTAATGTGCAGTGTGCGTGATTCACACGTGACAATCCTTAAAAGCCAAAATGCCCCCTCACCTCCTTCCTTAGACCCCAAAGGGCCAGCAAGCTTTAAGGATCAAACGATCCTATCAGAATGGATTCCTCTCTGGGTATCGCCTTCCACCTCCAGCATCCACCAGTTTAGCAGCCAGCTCTTGCAGGCATTTTCAGTCCAGGATCCAAATTAAGGTTTATTTAGATACTATCTATCCATCTCCCCGCACTGACCACAAGGGCCAATATGCCTTGTTTTATATAGGATGTATCCCTCAGGAGCCAACCGGTCTACAGGGCCACAGTTGATACCACATCAGAACGCTGTCATCCAAAAGAACACCTCCAGCCGCTGTATGATGGTGATTCCTTACCACCAGATGATGCTCCTTGCTGCAGGCCTGGGCCTAATCCCTTCTCATGTGTTTGTCTATGCTCACCGGGGCTGAGCTGCACTAGAAGAAAAACACCAGCACTGAACTCCACTCCGCCTGTTCTGCCGTTACTTCTCCTCCAGCACCCACAACAGCTCCCCGGTTACCAGCCCCGCCTTTTGCTTTCACCAAGGTAACCAACAGCCCATGTGTCCATGTGAGCGCAGGAGGTTTTTTGAATTATCTTTGAATTCCTGTGACTACTGGCCATACTGATACCACTTGTCTAGGTGCCATACTGTATCTGGTAATTAGATTAATTTTTAAAGACTGCATTGTCATGTTTTTGCTGGTTGTATATCTCATCTATGCTAATATCCCCAAAAGGGGAATGTCCTCCTGGGGGGTAAAAAGTATGTGTCTGAGTTTTAATAAACAGTTATTTCTTTGGTTTTACTTCAACATCTTGTCTGTGTATGATGCTTGCAGTAAAAGGCTGGGGTTAGCTGGAAGGCTTTGGAGGGCAGGAGGCACTGTTTGGGGTATTTGGCGGTCCGGCACAATAATAAACCCTATCAAGGAAAGAGTTGAAGAAGAATACTCCTCAAAGAACATCACTCTAGAAGATCACTAGTTTGTTCAAAACAAGGGTAAAGCATCTATTTTAACATCATATTAATACCATACTGGTGTCTGAAAATAGAACATTTAAAAAACTAAGCTATTGTGGGGCCCTCTTGATATTTCAAGGGCTGCATTTGAGGATTCTCGTATACAATATGTTAAACACCACTGCTCTAGATACAGTACATGCTCTTGTATGTAATGAGGTTTTGTGACCTAAACTTTCAGGACTTAGGGTAACACTTACTGTATGCTACAGCCAGGGGTGAAGTGTAATATGCTATTTCATGCACATCTGTACTTATGTATGCAAGTTGAAGACTGAGTTGCTGAAATCAGCAAGTTTAAAATAACTGTTTTGTAAGGTGTCACGGAAGGTAAATAAACCCATCCCCTGCCACGCATTCATGGGAAGCAAGTGAATAATCTATCTTAAGTAAAGGTAGAGTTGCTAGGTCATACGTGTACCTCAGTATGCACATGTAGGATGGGGCATGCAGTAGGACTATACCCTTCACTAGGGCTGGAAGGGTTACAATAGCATGGACTTTTTGCTTACTAAGGTAACAGTATATCACATTACAAAAATTACATTTTTGAGAGTGTGAGCAGGTTGTAATGTAAATACCCTTTAATTTTGGAACTGCAACTACTACAATGCAGTATTAATATTAACACTGGCATAGTTGCTTAGCCTACAAATGATCACTTGACACCCTAGCCATCTTGACACTAAAGTTGTATTAATTGCATTTATTTTTTATTATTATTAGACACTATATTAACTGGTGTTTGTAGTTTACATTTCTTCAAATTTATGGTTTAATGTACATGCTTCACTGTGGTGTCTAGCGCTATTTTCAGCACCATATGTAGTTTCTCTATTCAAGCCAAATGAACTCAACCTCCAGCATTTAAAGAGATCCTGTCATCCTCTAAACTCCCACCACTAATCTCACAAATGTAGGTGAGGTAATGCTACAGGGAATCCCCTGAGACCTATAAGTGGATACAGAATGCTACTTCATGGATTCAGATACAGCGATGCTTAGTAAAGTCCTTCTTCAGTGTATTCCTCATTGCAGTTTGGGGTGCCCCTCAGCAGGCTGCTGAAATGCTTCATTGCATTGTTGGATATTGTGTTGGGGGGCACCATTCAATGTCTTTCAACATGGGTAGTAACATGACCACTCAATAGAGCCTAGCATCTGTGTTTATAGTAGTAGAAGCCACCAGACATTCCATACGGCAGTCAAATTGTACGTGCATGACAAAACGCCCCTCAATATACGTGGGCACCTACAGAGTACGACAGCATAACATGCAATATGTAACATATGGAATGTCTTTTATAATTAAAAAAAATAAATCAAAGTACACTGCATATTTTTACAACTACCGTGCCTATTTTTACATACTTGTCAGAAACTGGCTTGCATTCTAAAGAACAATTTTATTGTTCATCTGCACTAGCACTTTACGATCACGGCCATGACTCAAATGCTCATGATTTCCAAACACAGAATGAATTCTGAGCATAAGCCTTACATCTCACTAATATGTACCTCTTCTTTATATCCCAAGATACTATTCATTTGGCCCTCAGAAAAGACATCTGCAGTTTTTATTTTTGTTCTCTAAGTGTCAAGTGTCCTGTTTATTTTCTACTTTATATACAATCCTGAGCTGCATACACAGAATAATATGCTGGGTTTAAATAATGCACTCAAAGACACCAACAGATTTCCCTATGGAAACAATACAGAAGATCTACATGACCTGATAAGCTTTGTATACTTCTAGGGGCAGGAGTTGGAGGTGAGCAATGCAGAATTTCTAGGTGAGCTCTCACTGTAGAACACTAGGACAAACATATGCAGGGGACAATTGATTTGATTACCCATGTCAAATCTAAAAATAGAAATGTCAGTTATGTTTGGACTGTAGGCAAGCTCAGGGGCGGACTGACAACTCATGGGGCCCCCGGGCAATAGGGGATCATGGGGCCCCTGTGTCCTTGCCCAAACTCAAAAAAGCCTATGAAAAAAGGTACCAGGGGCATCTCATGGGGCCCCCTACTGACCCCGGGCCCTCGGGCAGTGCCCGAGTTCCCAAATTGTCAGTCCGCCCCTGGGCAAGCTGCTAAATGCAAAGTTAAATACATACGTATCTGCTATTTGTTTTACCTGCAAATTGATATGTATTTCACTTATGTCAGTTCTGGAATTTACACAAACCTGCCATGGTGCAAATCCAGGATAGTGATCCCATTTTTCTCTATACTGTAGGATGTATAGGTGATCTCCCAACCCCAGTCTTTGACTGAACAGTAAAGAAGACGCTAATGACTGATGGGTACCTCCCTCTGCTTTCGCCTCCAGTCAGCATGTTCCTTCTATGCGCATGTGCAGTGTAGCACATCTTATTGGCTAATGGCTACATAGTTACTCTGGCTGAAAAAAGACAAAACTCCATCCAGTTCAACCAAAAAAAAAAAAAAAAGTTAGAATTCTATACCCACACTTGATCAAAAGGAAGGCCAAAGAAAAGAAAAACCCAGCAAAGCATGATCCAATTTGCTCCTACAGGGGAAAGAATTCCGTTCTGATCCCCCAAGAGGCAATCATATATTCCCTGGATCAATTTTACCTATAAATATTAGTATCCAGTTATATTATGTGTATCTAGGAAAGAATGCAGGTCTTTTTTAAAGCAATCCACTGAGCTGGCTAGAACCAACTCTTGAGAGAATCTATTCCACATTTTCACAGCTCTTACTGTGAAGAAACCTTTCCGTATTTGGAGATTAAATCTCTTTTCCTCCAGATGTAAAGAGTGCCCCCTTGTCCTCTGTGATGATCTCAGGGTGAATAACTCTACACTGAGATCACTATATGAACCACTGATGTATTTGCTCACCTCCTCATAAAAAGAAATCAGATTTGTTTGACAACTTTTGTCTTTCATGAATTCATGCTGTCTGTTTCCAGCAACCTATGTTAGTATCCAGTTATATTATGTGTATCTAGCAAAGAATCCAGGCCTTTTTTAAAGCAATCCACTGAGCTGGCCAGAACAAACTCTTGAGAGAATTTATTCCACATTTTCACAGCTTTTTTTTTTCACAGAGTTTTATTAAACTCTCCAGTATCTTCCCAACTATGGATGTTAAACTGACAGGTCTAAAATTACTTGGTAAAGATTTTGACCCCTTTTTAAATATTGGCACCACATTGGCCTTACGCCTATCCAGTGGTACTATGCTACTCATTAAAGAGTCCCTAAAAAATATAAACAATGGCTTTGAAATGGCAGAGATCAATTCTTTAAGGACCCGTGGGTGTATGCCATCCAGTCCAGGTGCTTTATTCACCTTTATTCTGTCTAAATATTTCTGGATCATATCAGTTGTGAGCCAATGTGGATCATCTGGGGCTGTGTCAATACCATGCCCATTCTGGACAAGAGCTCCCCCATGCTCCTTTGTATACACAGAACCGAAGAAGGTATTTAATAAATGTGCCTTCTCTTTGTTCTCAGTCACCCACTCTAGATTATTTTGTAAAGGGCCTACATGCTCGAACCTGACCTATTAATATATTTGAAGAATTTTTTGGGTTTGTCCTGCTATCTTTTTCACTCTGTTGTTCGTTTTCAATTGTTGCGGCCTTTATTTCCTATTTACATATTATGTTATATTCTTTGTAATGTTTAAATGATGATCGCGTTCCTTCATTTTTATATTTAATAAAAGTTCTTTTCTTATTATTTATAGCTTTTTTAACTTTGTCCGTAAGCCACATAGGTTTGATTTTTAGCCTTTTAAACTTGTTGCCCATGGGAATATATTTTGCAGTGTGTTCACATACAGTCTTTTTGAAGAACTCCCATTTCTGTGTTGTGTTCATCGACATTATTCTTACCCAGTCTAACTCTTGGAGAGCAGCTCTCAGCCTTGGAAAATTAGCTCTCTTCAAGTTTTTTTTATTTTTTTGTTTTTCCCATATGTGCTTGTTGTTTACAGCTAACAATAAATTAAATCATGTTGTTGTCACTGCTACCCAGATGTTCTTTTATATGGACATTAGTAATAAGCTCTGCATGGTTTGAGATTACCAGGTCCAGCAGATCATCATTCCTAGTTGGGGCCTCTATGAACTGTACCATAAAATTGTCCTGTAGTAGGCTTATACATTTTTGCCCTTAAACTGTTCCTACAGTGCCATTACTCCTGTCAATTTCCGAGTAGTTAAAATCCCCCATTATTATCACTGTCCCAGTCCTTGCAGCCCTTTCGATCTGTGCAAGGAGCTGAGTCTCCATCTCCTCATTAACACTGGGTGGCCTATAAGAAACTCCAATGATTACCTTTGTAGTACGCACCCCCATGTGCAGTTCCACCCATCACACTCTCCATCAACTAGGTCCTCTTTCACACTCGCTCTGAGATCACTTCTCACATAGAGACAGTCACCACCACCTTTCCTATTTACATAGCCATGAATGGTAATGGCCCAGTTATGTGAAGAATGAAGCCAAGATTCAGCAATACCAATTAAATCATAGTTCTGTTCATGCACCAAAGCTTCCAACTCACCTATTTTGCTTGGCAGACTTCTGGCATTGGTGAACAAACACTTTAATTCATTGATACATTTGCACACGTATTTTGCAAATTTGTTGTTTTCATACAAATGGTACTAATTCCAATGTTTGTTGATAACATGGGCACCTTCTTATCACCTGCCATAGCCCTCCCCCCATCTTTCCCCATTCCACCCACCAATAAGGACTGACCCCGGTTTGAACTATATGCCCCATTATAATTTAATTCTCCCTCTCACCTCAATCCTAGTTTAAATACTCCTCCAGCAGTCCCATAAACTTCTCCCCCAGCACAGCAGACCCCCTTTCATTAGGTGAAAACCATCTCTAGCATATAGGTTGCATCCCAAAGAAAAGTCAGCCCAGTGCTCTAGAAACCCAAATCCTTCCCTCCTACACCATGCATTTAGTTCCCTAATCTCCCCCTGTCTTTTCTGAGTAGAGTATGGCACAGGTAATAACTTACAGCCTAGTTCTTTAAATTTGTTCTTAAGGAACCTCCACTTTCCATGTGTTCTGTCATTGGTTCCAATATGGACCGCTGGATCATGCCCTTCCCCTCCCAGTAATTTATGGACACAGTCCACCACATGCACTAGCTGGCACTAGGGAGACAGCAAACCATTCGGTTGAGGTGATCCTTGTGACAAATTATTCTATTAGTCCTTCTGATTATAGAATCCCCTATTACCACCAACTGTCTAGGCCTTCCTGCACTACCCTCAGCACCCCTCCCAGATGGTCTGCCCTCCCGGCTGTTAGGGATAGCAGTGGTATCCAGGGCTGCCACCCCTGAGCTTGCCACCCCCACATCTTCACCCAACTTGGCAAATCTGTTTGGGTGCTCAAACCCAGGGCTGGCCTTCCTTTTCTGTGAGCCCCTCCCACTTCCTCTTGCTACAGTAACCCATCTTCCTACTTGATAATCCTGACTAGCCCCCCTCCCCACATCAATCCCATTAGCGACCTGCTCAGATTGCAGAAAACCCCTTTCAAGGTTGTCGGATCTGCCCAGTGTTGCAACTTGCTTCTCCAGATCTCTAACATGAGCTTCCAGAAGGGCAACCTGCTCACATCTGTCGCAGCGGTACCCATCCTGGGACTGTTGCTCCATTGTTAACATGCGGCACACTGCACTGCACAAATCCTTCAACCTTGTAGCACTCATTATCCTAGTTACAATATTAATATTACTAATAGGAAATATTAGTTGTCACTTACAGGTCAGTAGACTCCTGTTATAATCTCCTGTTTTCAACTCCCTTTTTTAACTCCACTTAATCAAATGTCCGCTTAATCAAATGTCCAGCAAGCAAAATACAGGCATAATTTAGCAAGCTCAGAGTGAGCTCTTCAGATAGTAAGGCTACGTTCAAATTAGTGTTGTGTGCAAGCGGCAGAGAGGCGTTTGGGAAGCGTTTTTACCGCTTTCCAAATGCCTTGGACAATTCTGCACATTGCAGCACATGGTGCTGTTCTAACGGGAGCGTTAGCGTCGTGTCACTGCAAAACGGATGCCTCTGGTCGAGTCAGGAGGTGTTGAAGCCTCCTATTCTAGTCTATGGTGCCGCTCCGCAAACGCCCGGACGGCGTTTGCGGCGCGGTTGCGATGCGGTTGCGGGGCATTTGCGGAGCAGCAACACCATTTAAACTTCATTATAGGCGTTTGTGGGGCGTTTTTAACGCTCGGCAAATGCCTAGCAAGCCTCTAAACCGCGTTTGTAACACCATTTCTCATTAACCGCGCAAATGCCTAGCAACTGCCTCTAAACCGCGCGGCGTTTGCCGAGCGTTAAAAAAAAGCTCCACAAACGCCGGACCAACACTTGCCAAACCCTATAGGGGCGTTTGGCAAGCGTTGGTAAAACAATCAAGTGTGAACGAGCCCTTATATAGTACCTGGAGCACCTGTGACCAATTAACCCCTCCCCATAATCAGCAGACTGAAGGAAGGAAAAGAAAGGGAAAAAAATGCTATTTAAAAAGTAACAAAAAAAGTGATTTAAAATGTAAAAGCTGCTAGCAAGACCCCAAAATAAAAACAACTACACCATCAACGAGCAGTCAAAAGCAAAACCGTCTTTCACTCTCCACTCAATTTTCCACTTTTTTTAGCTTCCAGGCAGCAAAATGTGCCAGCTAGAGTTGGTGTTGTTCCTTCCTCTCTGACTCTATATTCTACTGTTGTTCAGGTATTAAAAATATGTTTATTTGTTAATAAATACATCACTGCATTAATTGGTGTTTTTTAATATCTGCCTGTGGTTCATCTTTAAATCCAACTCAGATGAGTGATTTTAACATAACTGTCAGTCATTTGGTCCATGCAAGTGGAAATTATCTGCAGTTTCCCATTAATTTCCCTAAAGTATTTGTAAAGGCAATAGGTAGACCCATTGCTAATTTTTTATTGTTGTCTGTGGTTCTTCTGGCGACCACTGCCACTAAGTCAGAAAATTTGAAAACATTCTAAATTTAAAGCTGAATTTCACTCTAAAAATTAACATTGACCATTTTTAATCTTTATGCTGCTAGTATTAG